ATCTAATATAATTTACAAAAGGTGCGTGGCAGCCCCTGCGGTGTGATCTATGTGGAGCCGTGTTTCTGGCGGAGACTATGTATAGCGATATACGTGAGTCCAGCATTCTGCCCTTTCCTCGCCCCATAAGATTACAATGGGGTTAGGGGCGTTGAAAAATTGTTTGTTTGGGCGCGGGCCAGGCCTGCCGCGCCAGCTGCCGGCGCGCCCGCCAACGCCGCGGGCGCGGCGGCGCGGGCGCCCATCTGTCGTAGTAGCTCTGGTCGGCGTAGCAGCTGTCCGAGCGGTAGCCGTCGTAGTCCCAAGAATCTCGGCGAGCCCAGCCACCTTCGTGCGCTCTTCTCGGAGCATCGTAAATCAGCGGCCCTGGGCAATCGTCCATCGGGATGTTTCGCGCGGCCCTCGGCGCCCCCTTCCGAGCAGGGGGGGCCGCGTGCTTCGCCGCGTTATTCGAATGCCTGCAGGGCAGACGTACGCGGACCATCTTAGTAGCATCCTCGATCACAGGGCACGCTGCTGGTGGTTGAGAAGCGAGGGCCGCGTGAGCGCCGGGCAGCTGGTGTTCTAACATCGCAGGGTCGTCAGGGCACGTCGGCAGCTTCCCGTGGCAGCGCAGGCGTAGCTTGCCCCTGATACTGCCCAGGTGGGAGTGCATGTCGCCCCTCTTCTGAAGGGCTTCGCGCACGTTGGCGTAGAGCGGCTGACCAGGTACAGCGCGAGCTGCGACAACAGCGGGCCACGCGGCGATGAACGTGCCTTCGGGTGCGACATACCCACAAGCAAGAAACGATTGCAAATCATATTCTTGATGGTGCTCCATTGCGCCGACGGGCTACGAATGGCGCACCAATCTTCCTTGCTCAGGTACCTACAGAATTTGAAACATGTCTGGCGTTCAGGTTGCTTCTTCTCTCTGGCAACTGTCGCAGAAATGGCGCCTGCCACCTGCGATGCCGACCCAAGAACCTTGGTCTTGATGCGGTCGCCGCGGGCACTGCGCTGCGCGGCGTCGACATCACTGGCGCGCAAAGCCTTCAGCACTGAGTTTGCCTCGTCCAGAGTCCATCCAGGCAGCTTCGCTCAACTCTCTCGGATCATAGCCGCGCCCTTGACTGGGTCGGAATTCCCCCCAAGATTCTGCGCAAACGCTCAAATGTTCTAGAACTTTCGTTGCGGCTTCTAGATCCATCGAGACATGCGAACCGACCGCCGGTGGTCGACCTCACACTTGTCTGGGGCCAAAATGGCCGCGCGCGGACCCAGTCAGGAAGCGCGGCACCAGCAGCAATAATGCCACAAACCAATCCGAACAAACGTTCGTTTTGCATGGGTCAGGGTGAGGCGAGCGGGCGGCGGGGAGGGCGGCTGGAGGAGGACGGTCGAGAGTCGGCACGTTTCTCTCGGCATGCGTCTCTCGGGGATGAAGGAGATGGGGGGGGGGGGCATTGCCAATCTGATGCGACGGGCGACTGGCGCAAACTATTGCGAAACAAATGGCGCAACCTATTGCGGAACGCACTTCGCACAGCGATGAAAATGCGGCGTTGCATGTAAATGGTCATGTTGCGAGATTTAATGCACCGCGCCGCATATGATGGCACTCTTCGGGAAATCTACTGCGCATCATGTGAGGTGTTCTTGGCGCAACCAAATGGCGCAACGACGTTGCGAAACCTGTGGCGCGCAACCCATGGCGCAATAAGGCCAGTAAGTTTCCGCCTGCTCCGTCTTGGCGCAGCTATCAGTTTCAACGACCGCGCTCGCTGGCACCCTGCGTGCGCCAGTGGCAACGAGCGAGGTTCTCGCTGCTGCCGGCAAAGCGTAGTTGCCTGACAGGAGAAAGCCATATCCTGAACAGCACAGCAGATATACATCCGCAGTCCTTTCTCCAGGAACGTTCCAATATTTTTGTTGCCAAAAAGCGATTCGCGCGGCTGCGCCCGCGTCGCCGCGGCCGGCCCCGCCTGCAATTCTCTCTGCGCGGGCCCCCGCGGAGACGCACCCGCCGCCGGGCCACGCTGATTTTGAGTGATGTTAGATTGGGGCCAGGTCGATCTCAAACTGAACAGTCCGATGGCAACCTGACCCCAGCCTGGCCTGTCTGAATCAGCCTGGGGAGGAGAGCGGGCTGCGGCCTATCGCAGCCTCCACTTGTCGCGCGCGGGGTTGAGCGACGGGCCAAGCCCCCCTCCACCTCGCGCGGCGACAGAGGCCACGAGCTGCGCGGGATGAAACGGACGAGGGGAGGGGTGGCGGGGGGGCGGGGGGGCGAGAGAGGCAGACAGACAGAGAAAGAGCGAATAGAAGAAGAGATGGAAGGGAAGAGAGAGAGAGAGAGAGAGAGAGAGAGAGAGAGAAGGAGAGCGAGAGAGAGAGAGAGAGAGAGAGAGAGGGAAAGCGAGACAGAGAGAGAGAGAGATAGAGAGAGGGGGGGGGGAAATAAGAGAGGGAAGAGAGGGAGAGAGGAGAGAGAGAGAGAGAGAGAGAGAGAGAGAGAGAGAGAGAGAGGAGAGAGAGAGAGAGAGAGAGGAAAGAAACAAAAAGAAAGAGAGACAGAGAGAGAGAGAACACACGAACATAAGAGGGAGGGAAAGAGAGAGAGAGAGGAGAGAGAGAGGAGGAAAAAAAAAAAAAAAAAAGAGGGAGAGGGAGAGAGAGAGGGATATATATATATAGGAGAGAGAGAGAGAGGAGAAAAGAGAGAGAGAAAGAGAGAGAGAGAGAGAGAGAGAGAGAGAGAGAGAGCGAGAAAGGGAAGACGATATACTGCGCAAGAGTGAGGGCGTGGGAGGAGGGCGAGGGGATGGAAGACCAATGCAATCCTTCTGCTCCTCTTGCTCGAACTCCCCTGCAGCTCCTGTTGTTGCTGCTGTTGCTGGTTTCCCTCCTCGCGCTCACGTCCTATGGAAAGGGGCCGATTTGGACAGCGACGCGCGCGTCCAGAAAGCCAGACGCCCTTGATCTCGCCCTTCCAAGCAAAGCTCTCGAGCTTGGCTCCCCGGGTCCCGCTTCGCAGCGCGAGGCCCGCGTCAAATGCAAGGTTGTCATTGGCAAGGTCTCGCGAGCGCGCCCGTTTCATGCGCCTGGGCGCGCCCGGCCAATGCGCCGGGAATATGTATATATATATATATATATACGATTGCGGGTCAAACCTGAAGGAGGGGGGGGGGGGCAGGAAGCTGCGGGAGGCGCACGCAGGAGGCTCCAGGGGAATAGATCGACCATGTGCGACTTGATATTGGTCGATATTTTTTGTATTTTACCGATCAGGATGTGGCCCGAACCCCAGCGCCACGGCCTCCTCCTCCTCCATATCCTCCTGCGCCTCCTCCCCCTCTGCCTCATCCTCCTCGTCGCGCTCTTAGCTGTGGCTCCTGCTCCCCCCTCATCCACCCATCATCCACCCTCCATTCTTCCACCTCCACATTCCTTCCCCCCCCCCCCCCCCCCCTGATCCTCGCATCTCAGATTGGCGTCAGATCGACCTCATATTGACCTCAGATTGATCTATGTGAGATCTATCTGGGATCTATATGAGATCAATATGGGAACAATATGAGTCACTCTGAGTCAACCCAACGTCCGTCTGAACGTCAGTCCGACACCTTGCGACGGCATGTTTTGGTGGCGGGCGAGAGCGCTCGCCAAGCTCGAAGCCGCGACCGCGCGGCGCAACCTGGCGCCCAGGGAGGCCGAGGCGCCGAGAACTGCGCTGCAGGAGTGACGCGCACGGGAGGCTGACAGCCTCTGTATCTTTTTCCTCCCCGCCCCCCCCTCGAATCTCCTTCTCCTTCCTTTTCTCATCCTAGAGCGAGCAAGCAAAACTCGCGCCGACTTGCTCTTGGTGGCGCCGCGCTTGCTTGCGCCCTTGCCCTTGCCCTTGCCCTTGCCCTTGCCGCGCGGGGCGCCCACGCCCGCCGTGGCCAACGCAAGCCTGTTCGCTGGGCCACTGCCGCCCAAGGACTGCTTGCCGCGCAGCCGCGCAGACTTGCGCTTCGTCTCTTTCGGCGGCACCAGCGCGTCGTCGTCGCTGCCGCCCGCCCCCCCCTGCCTTCGCAGCTACAGGCTCCGGCGCCGACCGCTTCCTCGCGTTCGCAGGCCCTGCAGCAGCAGCTGGCCCCGCCACATCAGGGAGATCGAAGAACACCTCGAGGTGAGCAGCATGCAGATTCGCTGTAGCTGCTGTTTGATGTCCACTGGTAGCTCCTCGAGGAGCGTCGTGAGCTTGTCGCCGTACTCCTTCAGGGTCTTCTGGTGGCTCTTCGCCTGCTGCATGGTCGACGTGACCGCGCCCTTCTGCGCCGCGCCGCGCTGCGCGTAATCCCTCAGGATGACCAGCTCGCCCGCGTGGTCCTTCACGTAGCCGTCGCTCCTGCGGAGGATGCCGCGGGGGACGCACTGCCCGGCCTCTTTGCTCGTCGTGATGAGCACCAAACTGTTGCGAGTGGCCGCGTCGTCCTCGATGCCCGCGACCAGATCCTTCACCGTCTCCAGCTGCGTTAGAGCAATGGCCTTCTCGCCAGGCGGAACGGTCGGGCCAGCCGCGACCGCCTTCGGCTTCGCGATCGCCAAGCTGTTCACCCTGGCAGACCGCTGGTGCGTCTCCTCCTGCGTCGTCGTGTCCGAGGCGAGGAACTGGGGCTTCGCGACGTAGATCTGCCTCTGCCCGTTGTGCGGATCCGTCAGCGTAGGAGCGTTCTTCTTGCGATTGTCCCACGCCTCAGGGTCGCCCTTGAACTTCGGCGAGGTCGCGGCCTCGGCGAAGGGCATGCACGTGCCATCCTCTTTGAACTGAGCCATATTCCTCTTGCTCTTGATGGCCTCAATCTCCTGGCCCATTGCCCCTTGGAGCTGCGCCCCGAACAGATCATTACACTCGCCTGCGAATCCCGCCCCCTTCTCTTCGCTGGATCCACGCGGGAGAACAGCTCGTGCTTCTCGGGGTTGCCACGGCGGATGGTAGCAATGCGGCCCTTCAAGCGGCTGCAGCCCCTGTGGACCTACTGCTCGTAGCCGCCGACGCTCGACTGGGCGATGCCTTCCCCGGTGGGGGCTGGCCGCGAACAATGGCTGCAAGCGGGCAAGTCGGCATTGGCCGCCTCCTCGCCATGGGGCCCCCTCCTCGATTTCTGGAGGCTCAAGGGCGACAGGCGGGCCCCGCGGCTCTCCGACAGAGGAGGGGGCGGCGCTCGCGGCGGCGACGTCGGCCTCGCGCCCGCCCATGGGAGTTGCAGGCTGGGCCGGCGACATCGCGCTGCAGCGAAAAATAAAATTGAGGGGGGCAGGGCCCTCCACGGAGCCAAAACGGCAGCGGCTGGAAACGGAGGGTCGAAACTCCCAGGTGCCTCGGACAGTCGGAACAAAGCCCAGAAACTCCCCTCATGCTTCGGGGGGCGGGGGTGGGGGGGGGGCAGGGGGGGGGCTTCTGAGCGCGCCGGCGGCTTCAGCGGCGCGGGCGCGCATACAGGCCGCGGCTTTCGCGCCGGCAGGAGAAGAACCGACGAGGGATCTCAAATCGAAATCAGAGAGGCAGGTAGAAGCAGGTAAAGAAGAGAAGCGAGGGGGGCGACGGGGCCGCCGTTCTCCGATTGCGCGCTGGCCCAGCCCGAGCGGTCGTCGGAGTTGCCGCGCCCTCGGCGGCCTGGCGGAATTGCGGATGAGGAGGAAACGAAGTGCCGCCGCCGTCGCCGCCGCCACGACCCCCCGACCCCCCGCCGCCCGTGCGCGGCGCGAGCCTCGACGTCAGCTCCGCGCGACGTCGGCCCAGCAGCAGCGGCGCCGCCGCCTTTGCGGGCAAGCGGGCGGAAGGGAAGAGATGATGCGAGGTTTCCGAGAAAGCTGATGAAACTTCCTAAACCTCCGAGGGATCAAAAGGCGCAAACCGACAATATGTTCGATGTGCATGCGGGGGTTCAAATGTGCCCAGCCTTCGCGTGAAGCAGCTGGCGGGGCGCGATCCTGCGAGGGCTCCGCCCCGCTGTGCTCCCCTTCGCGATCGGGGGCCCAGCGCTGCAGCGGGTCGCGGCCAAGCGAGGCCTGGAGGAAGGTGGCCAAACCCGCAGCCTGCAGCACGCTCGACGCGATGGTAAACTGCTGCGCCGTGGATTCCTGATCCTGCGTAAACCGCGCGGAGCCGCTGGCGAGCATGATCTGCGTGGAAACCAGCCGCGCGACGTGCATGTTGTCGCTTCGGCCGATGATGGCGAGCGCCCTGCCGGCCCCGCGGCCCACGCTGCGAATTGGCGCCTTGCACCGCGTGCCCCCCCGGACCATCTGGGGCTGCAAGCTCGTCGAGGTGGCGGCCTGGCACGCCTCCTTCACGAACGCAATGGGGCCGTTGCTGGCAGGGCCACAGAGCTCCTCGAGGCGGCGCGGCCTGCATGGCACCGCGCCGTCGGCGCAGAGGCGGCCGCGGGCGCCCGCGCGCGCGCCAAACAAAAAAAAACAGCGCAACTCGTGCGCCTTGCGGAAATGCCGCAGACGAAAAGATAGTGGCACCGAAAATCGCCGGCGTCGCGTCGACCCCCCCCCCTCCCCCCGCGCCCCCCTCCTCCTTCTCCCCCCCCCCTACTCCCCCCCCTCTTCTTCCCCCCATCGCGGGCCTGATTTCGCGGCGCCCCCCCAAGGTGTTTTCACCGAGCGAAAACCGCATTTTGTTGCCGAGCAGTAATTACGCTCGGCAACGATGTGCGCCCTCTCTCTCTCTTTCTTTCTTTCTCTCTCTCTCTCTCTCTCTCTCTCTCTCTCTCTCTCTCTCTCTCTCTCTCTCTCTCTCTCTCTCTCTCTCTCTCTCTCTTTCTCTCTCTCTTTCTCTCTCTCTTCTCTCTCTCTCTCTCTCTCTCTCTTCTCTCTCTCTCTCTCTCTCTCTCTCTTTCTCTCTCTCTTTCTCTCTCTCTCTCTCTCTCTCTCTCTCTCTCTCTCTCTCTCTCTCTCTCTCTCTCTCTCTCTTCTCTCTCTTTTCTCTCTCTCTCCTCTCTCTCTCATTTTGTTCTCGGCGTTTGTTCCTTTTTTTTTCTCTTCGCAGCGGCTTTTCCTGCCCATCCATAGTTTCTTGCGCGGTAGATGCGCGGGCGGCCCCCCCTATAGGATCGCCAGTTTCACCCCTGCGCTGAGCCTCCGTGGCGGGGCAAGCCGTGGCGCCGAGCTACGCCGCGTAAGCTACGCGGCGCGCCATCGACGGTCAACTCAGGCACGTTCATGCGCGCGGCGCAAGCTATGTCGCGTCAGCTACGCGGTTGGCTGTTCAATCTACGGGGCGGGGCGGAGCCTCCGCCTGTTCACATGGCACGTTTTGCGATGCGCATGTTTTCTGTTGGCAGAGCTGGGCCCCCACCTGTCTCTGCCAATGTTGATTCAAGCGTGCGTCTGCGCAAGGATCTGAACGCCATTGTTCAGATGTTCAGGGCGCTCCTGAAGCAATAGTTTCTCTCTCGGGGCATCATGTCACATCAGATTCGCCCTTGGACTATCTAAGTAAGGATAGAAGCAGTGCGAAGGGTCGCGCCGCCCCTGCAGCGCGCGCGCTGCCCGATGAAGTCGCTGGGAGATATCTTAACGAACCCGCCAGATGGACGCAAAGAGTCGGGGCCGACTGGGTCGAGCAATTCTCCTGAACCATATATGAATGGGCTGCAACAGATATGTAAACGCAACATCTATCCCATACACAAACTGAAGAAAACAAAAACAAGGAAGAAAGAAACAAAAAAAAAACCGTCGGCGGCGCCCGCTGGAAACACCGCGCCCTGTCTAACAGGCCCCCTGTTGAATACAAGTGACTTGGATGCCCGAACGCGGATTGACCTGCGCGGGCTTTGGACAGAAATCCCTGATTCCATGGCGTCATGAATCGGGCATAGCAAACGATTTTCCTGCAACCGAGCGCGCGAGAGCCTGTCTTCCAAACCAATGAGGATCCTGCCCAACAAACTCCAGGACTTATGCGACTCTGGAAGATGAGCGCAAGTCAGTTTCACAAGTCGGCTCCTCCTCTCGTTTGAAAAACAAGACGCGTTGACCGTGAACCGTGACGAACAAATATGGCACGTGATTAGCCGAATGTGTCTTTGCTTTCAAACATCCGTGTCCATAGAAGCGTAACGTAGCCTCGTGGTGCTGTGCAATCTTGCGAGACAGCACAACAGCCTGCACAACTGCCAGGCCCCCCCGATGTCACAATGTCGCATACCTCGTTCAAATTAAAAACGCATGTCGCGTTGCTCTACAAGAACGCCCCTAGGTTGCAACACCATTCTAGAGAAAACCGCACGAGCCGAAACAGCAGCGGGGCACCCGGCATCAAATGCTTTCACGTGCGTGCCTACTGCCATGCTGGCCCGCTCTTGAAAGAACTTGTTGTGCAGGCTGATTTCCGCTGAGCGCCGCAAACTGGAATTCGTCTAATTCATCGAAAGGTACCCCGCGCGCGTGCACGGTCTTTTTGTGAACCCCATGCAGAACTCTCCTATACTGTGCTGCGATGCACCCCCTGACGCCGCATCAATGCGCATGCAGTCCCAGGAACAACTGGTACGCGGGCAAACAATCAGCGCAACCCAAGACCCTAAAGAAGGGTGCCTGGGTCGTAATGCTGCCCGTGCGCCATCTCTAACTTTTTGAATGCGCCAGGGCCGAGAACCAATCTCTGCTGTGACAATGTGTCTGAAACCACACAGCGAAGCGTCATCGTGGGAGTCGAGTCGGTGCGGCACGGCAAAGGCATAGCGGGTGAATGTAAGGGTTGTCTCTCGCGCGCCCTGTCTCCCCATCGAAAACGTGTTACGCGCGTGGCAGCAGCTGGCACCCGCCGCGCCCCTGCTCGCCTTTAATTTTGCATGCGTTCTCTCGTCTTGAAAAACGCATTGCAAGCCAGGGGTGGCCAGAAATGTATTGCCAAAGACGCCCGAAACCCTGAAACCAACTGAAATTCCACATGGACCCAAAAAGTACATGCAACACGTGTTTCCATACACCTGAATTGCCGCCGCGGGGTTTCTGCATCTCGTCGTAGCCAATGAAACATGTGACCAAACATGCCAATAGATGCGCGCCCCATCCCCCGCCCTTCCCCCGACCGCCCTCTCCTGCACCCCCCCCCCCTCCTTGAGGGTCCCCCGCGCGCACCTCGCCCCCGATTTCATTGTGGAGGGGAAGGGGGGAGGGAGCGGGGTGACAAGTGCATTCAGACCGCGCCTATAGGCAGCCATCCGTAATCTCCGTGCCGAAAATAATCCGGGAATTCTGCGAAACTGAAATACAAAGCACAAGCCTTGGTCGAAGAGTCAGGGCGCAAAGCGTTTCCAGGGGTGGCTTCGGCCCCCCCAACACATCAGGTTCGTCGTCCTGTTGCTCAAGTGTGTGGACATAAAATGCGCAAAACCAGCATTCGCTTCAGCGAGATAAGCCAGAGGTGCAAACGGATTCGCCATGTTCCACTTATAATTCGTGTCGTCGATGCAGGGCAATATAATATCCTGAATAACGCTGCCAGAATGCTCTACTTTCATGCGGGACACGTAAGTGCCAACATTTTTGCAATCATCGTCAACTTCGCCACCGTCGCGTGATAAAATGCGCCGAACTGCTACAACGAATGACACGTCCAAACTAACATCTGCATGTATTACAACGGCATTACTATTACGTGTAAAATACCTCTAACACAATTGTAATTAGTTATCGGGTTCGCTAAAGGGGAATACAAGTGTCATAACTAACTTTTTGAACCAAATATACGTCGCCAGACGTTATGAAGTTCTTATAGCTAGTTCGGATAAGTGGAAGACATCATAAGTTTGGTATAAAGTATGGTATGTGAGTTCTAACATGAGATATAAATGCACACCAACCAAAATCTACAAAATAGGGGTCCAGCGCCAATCCAAGATATTCGCGCGAGGCTCCGACAGTTGATGCTAAAGCCGTTTCTGTTCCCGATTGGAGCCCTGTGGACCTCGTGAGGGACGCTCTGTGGGGCCGTGGGGGCCTCCCTGGAAATCCTGGGGCTGGGCCAAGGGCACGTCTAGACAACGCCCGAAGATGTGAACACCTTCTCGTCCTGCGAGGCCTCCGTTGGCAGCCGGACCATGAATTGGCTCCTGTCTTTGGACAGCTCGATCTTCTTCGCCATGGTCTGGCGGCGCGCGCGAAGGGGTGGCACGAGTAAAGGGCAGATCGCGCCGCATCGCCGCATCGCCGCTGCATCATCGATGCATCGGCGACGTCGGCGTAAAGAAATTCGGACTCCACATTAAGAATAAACCAGGACAAGGGTAAAGTCAGGTGAGGAAACATGAATAATCTCTGAAATCCGGCGGCTCTGGAAGATGTCTCGGGCGCCGCGGCCTCCTCAGAGCGCTCCAGAATGATTTGAAAACGTTCGGAACGCTCTGGAACGGATTTGTCCTCGCCCTGGCCGAGTCCGACATCGAGCCGCATCGGCGATCCACCTCGAGCTGCATCGGCGATGCTGGGGCAGTTCTGGCGAGTAATTCACCTAAACGGGGGGGTGGAGAGAAGGGCCCGAAAGGGGCCCTCGGGGGCCCCTTTGGGGCGCCTGCTGGCTCCTAAAGGGGCCCTGAAGGGCCCCTTCAAGACCCTCCTCCTGAACCCCCCGTGTGGGTCAGCCCCCATCACCACCCGCCCGTGAATCTCTGAGAGTCGGCGGCTCTGGAAGATGTCTCGGGCGCCGTGGCCTTCTTAGAGAACGCTCTGAGAGCGGTCCTGAATGCTCTGGAACGGAGTTGTCCTCGTCCTAGCCCCGTCAGACCAGCGACGCCAACGTAGAGAAATCCACACTCCACATCGAGCCGCATCGGCGATGCATCGGCGATGCGACGCGATCCTCCGACCCCATCTGCTCGGATCCCACCTGGGAGGCCTGCAGCGAGGGAGGCGGGGCTTGGGCGTCGCTGAATGGGGGGCGAGAAGTGAAGGGGAAGTGGGTGCACTTTCGCACTTCCCGAGCCACACTCAAGGCCCCTTTTGGGGCCCTTGAGGGCTCCCTGAGGTGCCCTGAAGGATCCCTGCTCTGCAACCCTCGCTGCCCCCCCGTGGATCGCCCCCCCAATACGCGACGCCCCAGGGGCGGGCTCCCGAGCGGGCCTGGGCGGGGCGGGGGGCTGCTCGGAGGGCGGATGCTCTCCGGAGCCGCCTGGCGTCTGAAGCTGCTCTGGGGGGCCCCCGCGCTCGCTCCCTCGGAGGCCCCCGCCCTCTCAGACAGCCTCCCGCCTTCCCCGAGAGCCGACGTCGCCAGAGAAATTGAGCATCGCTTACGGCCGGACCTGAGACAAAAGAGCGCCTTTCAACAACATGAGACCCTCCGCCGAGCAAAACACACAGAACATTCGAGGGCACCCTCCCCCAAGACGCACAAGAACACTCAAAAAACAAAAAGAACATTAGGGTACCCTCCCCGAACCGACCTCAATACTATACCTCAGTCCGAACGTACGGTAGGTTCGCGCGGCGTCGGCGCGCAAAGGTTTTGACACCGCGTCGATCGTGCCAACTTGAATCGATCGCGGCCCCGATCGTTCAGAGTTGAACTCCGTCAGGTCCAGTGGCGTCACCGTGTCCCTCGGTACTTCCGCGTCGCAGAATTAAACCTTTAACGCCTTCGCCGGCGTCGCCGGCGCGCCATCGCCGCATGAACCTACCGTATCCGAATCCTATCCTCAACGGCGTGGCCTGGGCACCACTGGCCGAACTACCCCCCTGGTTGGGGATATAGGGCGTCCTTCGGGTTTCAGGGGGTCTATCCCCAACTGGGGTGGTAAAATGATGGGAGCCTGGATGAGGATGAGGATGGGGATAGGGGTCGCTTAAACGATACTGACAAGTACGTAGAAAAACTTGGCCGTAGCCCTGGACCCCATCTTGGTGCAGCACTGTTGGAGCTGGGTCGAGCCAAACCGCCTCTTGTAAAATATGGCGACTCTGGGATCTCAGGGGTTCGCGGCCCCGTCGTGCGCGCAGCCAGATGGTCGCGATGTCCTCGAACCAGTTTGGGCCCGCCGACGGCGGGGGCACCGTGGAGACCCTCACGTCAAGGGGCCCCGGGCCGCGTAACTCGTCCAGCAATCGCCAGTACCCGCGCACCCCATTCACCTGCTCGATGATGAAACCGGGCCGCACGGCCGCGTCGGGGTTCTCCTTGTTCCACCTTCGAAAGACACTAATCAGCCCTATAGGTCTCTAAAACCCCTCCCACTAATTGGGATTTTTTTGTTGACGCCTTCTTGACCGACTGGGGTTTCACCAATCGTGGAAAATATGTATGTATGTATCCAGGGCACGTGCCGCACAACAACTACAACGACGACGACGACGACGACGACGACGATTACGACTACGACCACGATACGACTATGGCTACGTCTACGACTGCGACGACGATAGCTATATAAACATATGAACACATGGCTACGTACACACACACCTATATATATATATATATATACATCATATATATATATGTATTTACATATACACGTACATACATCTATACACATATATATAGACATAAACATATAGACACCAGACTGCATTGGCGCTGCGCGCCATGCACCTTGGTCCTTTGAGTTCTGCACGCAAGCGGAATGCGTGTGTGCGAACATGCGCGCCTACATGTATACACGCGCGCGTGCATGCACGTTCCGTATACATGTCTAGGTGTATACAAACTACTTTCATTGTTGTGCCTGTATACAGCGTACCTATGTAAATAGAATGTTATGTGTGTAAGGGTATGGACATGCATATGCAACTCGTACGGGGCATCCTCGGGCATCTTCGCTGCATGCCACGAGACCCTCAACGACTGGGTCACGATATGAAATGTCATGGGAGCAAAATCAATGTTGGCATTCGGAAACATCGTGGGGGTGTTTTCGGGGCCCTCGTGGGCCGCTTTGGCGCCTTCATGTGCCGTCCTAGGGCCTTCTTGGGCCGTCTTGGGGAGCTTGGGCCCGCTGGAGCCCCCTTTGGACCCATCTTGGGCACTTCCGGGGACCTCCCACGGCCCTTTTGGTTCCATTATGGGGCTGTCTTGGGGCTCTCGTGGCGATCGTGGGGCCCGGCTCGGCCGTCTTGAAGCTCTCTAGGGGGCCTTTTGTAGCGTCTGGAAGCGATCTCGGGGGCTGGGAAACCGTCTTGAAAGCTGATGAAATCCGAAAAGCGAAGATGCTAAGATTGTAAGTTTTACGAAGGGAATGGGACGATTTTTGTGTTTTAAGGCCCCTTGGAAAGCTTTTTGGGGTGCCTTGGGGGTCTTTATGTTGGCATTCGGAAACATCGTGGGGGTAATTTCGGGGCCCTCGTGGGCCGATTTGGCGCCTGCATGGGCCGTCCTGGGGCCTTCTTGGGCCGTCTTGGGGAGCTTGGGCCCGCTGGAGCCCCCTTTGGACCCATCTTGGGCACTTCCGGGGACCTCCCATGGCCCTTTTGGGTCTGTGCTGGGAGCCCTTGGGGGGCCTCTTGGTTCCATTATGGGGCTGTCTTGGGGCTCTCATGGGCGATCGTGGGGCCCGGCTCGGCCGTCTTGAAGCTCTCTAGGGCGCCTTTTGGGGCGTCTGGAGGCGATCTCGGGGGCTTTGGAACCGTCTTGAAAGCTGATGAAATCCGAAAGGCGAGTCTGTTAAAGTTGTAAGTTTGAATCGAAACCAATTGCCCTAGCCAGCCCAACCAACCAGCCACCCAAACAACTCAACCGGCTCAACCAGCCCAACCAGCCACCCCGCAACCCCAGCCAACCCGCCACCCCGCCAACCCGCCCACCCCGCCGCCTGCCCTCCGTCACCGTCGAGAGGGGGGGGGAAGTGTTTCTTACAAGCGAAAACCACAAAAATCACCCTCACGGGGTCCGGCGGGACAGCGGGGAGGGGAAATCGCACCGTACCACGGGGGAGCGGGATTCGCGCACGAGGTGCCCAAAGACGATTTTGGGCCTCAAGTACGACACTGTCGTCACTTTATGACCTGTCACCGCGCTCCCCTTCTCAACGGAAAGGCTCACATCCGTGAAACTGTCGTCATTTTTCAGCTCCCGAGAGAGGCTTCTTAGAGGCCCCCAGAGGCTCCAGGAGGGCCTATGGCGGCCTCGGGAGCGCCTAGGAGATCTCCGGAGGGCCCCAGGAGGACCCACTCTGCACCGCGCCCCCCTTCTCAACGGAAAGGCCCCCATGCGTGAAATTGTTTTCATCATTCCGCCCCCGCGAGAGAGTTCTTAGAGGGCCCACGGAGGCTCCAGGAGGGCCCATGGCGGCCCCGGGAGAGCCCACGAGATCTCAAGAGCCCCCAGGAGGACCCACTTTGAATTACACTCAGGGAGCTCCAGAGGGCCCAGGAGGCTCCAAGAGGCCCCAAGAGGCCCCGAAGAGCCCAAACAGGCCACAGGACCCCCAGCACGCTCTAGGAGAGCCAAGGCGACACCAAGAGGCTCCAGGACGGGCGTCATTCCCTCTCCTCCTCCTGCTCGTCGTCGTCATCCTTCTCCTCGTCCGTCCTGCTTCAAATCTTTCCTCCCCCTCTTCCTCCTCCTTCTCCTCCTCTTTCTCCTCCTCCTCCTCCTCCTCCGCATCCTCCTCTTCCTCCTCCTCCGCCTCCTCCTCCTACCTCATCCGTAACCTCGATGGCTCCGATAGCGCCGTGCGTGAGATCCGCCTCCTCCCCATCCGTCCTCTTCCCTCCTCCCTCCCCCTTCCCTCCTCCATCCTCCCCCCTCCCCTCTCCCGGGAGCGTCACAAAGAGGCCCTCCGAGGATAATTTCACGAAAGCAAGGGCGCCGACACGATGAACAGACACCACGTCGGGGCTCTGGGCACGGAGTCGAAGACGAAACCTCGAATAACTTAGTCTTCAATGTGCGGGCCATTTTTCTGACCACCTGCGAGCCTTGTGGAAACTCCCGAGAGCCTCAGAGGTGGACGTCTGGCGCAAGAACACGAAAGGCGGAGGAAACAACACGACGCTCCACGGAGTAAGCTGCACCCAATTGGTTTCTACCCCCGTGAGGGGCGTTACAGAGTATGCTGAAGTTGTAAGTTTTACGAAGAGAATGAGACGATTTTTGTGTTTTGAAGGCCCCTTGGAAAGCTTTTTGGGGTGCCTTGGGGGTCTTTATGTTGGCATTCGGAAACATCGTGGGGGTAATTCCAGGGCCCTCGTAGGCCGCTTTGGCGCCTGCATGGGCCGTCCTGGGCCTTCTTGGGCCGTCTTGGGGCGCTTGGGCCCGCTGGAGCCCCCTTTGGACCCATCTTGGGCACTTCCGGGGACCTCCCATGGCCCGTTTGGATCTATGATAGGAGCCCTTGGGAGGCCTCTTGGTTCCATTATGGGCTGTCTTGGGCTCTCGTGGGCGATCGTGGGGCCCGGCTCGGCCGTCTTGAAGCTTTTTTGCGGGCCTTTTGGGGCGCCTGGAGGCGATCTCGGGGGCTTTAAAACCGTCTTGAAAGCTGATGAAATCCGAAAGGCGAATATGCTAAAATTGTAAGTTTGACGAAGGGAATGGGACGATCTTTGTGCTTTGAAGGCCCCTTGGAAAGCTTTTTGGGGTGCCTTGGGGGTCTTTGGGGCCGTCCTGACGGAATTGGAGTCCCTCTTGGAGCGCTCTTGTGCTGCCTGGGGCCGCCCTTGAGCCTTTCTGATGACCCCTCGGATCGCTCTGGGTCTGCTGGCAAGGCGTTTGTGGAGACCCGGAAAGCCGGGTGACCTTTTCCAAGGACGTCCAAGGGAGCCCGAGAACCCCAGATCCCGGGGGTCCAGTTTTTTTTTGGGGGGGGTGATGGGTTTTCCCCCCCCGGCTTGTAAAAATATAGGAAGAGGAATATTGGCAGCAACGCGTTCGGCGAATAGGGTGTCGATCTGCATTGCAATCTCCTTACTAACGTGCTCAACGTTCCTCTGTCGTGCAGGGCAGCCAAGAGATGATCATTCGCTGGGAGAGAGACCCCCCAACATGATCCATCGCGGCAGCAAACATCAGTGGGAATCTGATCTCCGCCGCGACGACGACGACGACGACGACGGAGACGACTACGATTACGACTACAATCACGATTACGATCACGACTACAATTACGCTTCCCCACACCTCCAGGGAGGCCCCGCCAGAGCGGGCAGGGTACGAGAACCCGAAAACCATAGTATTTCCAAGGCGTTGCGCCGTCCCCACTCCTCCAGGGAGGCTCTGCCAAAGCGGGCAGAATATGCGAAAACCATCTAACTTCAAAACGTTTCGCGCTCCTCCCGCCCTTGCTGGTTCGGGCTCTGGTATCCGGGTTCTGGTGGGCTCATGCGAGAAGCCCGAAGATGTCTCCAAAGATTTTCGCGGAGGGGGACTTGTCCGGAGATTTTACCAAAGATTTCCCAAGTAGGGGGATTCGCTGGAGATTTCGCTCGAGAGGTCTAAGTGGGAGGAATTCGCCGGAGATTTCGCTGGAAATTTCCACGAGAGAGGATTCGCCGCAGATTTCGCAGGAGATTTCTTCTAAGGGAGATTTTGCTGCAGATTTCGCCTGCGATTTTCAACAGGGCGGGTCGCGGGGGAGATTTTCCGGGGAGCTCGCCAGAGATTTTTCGTGAGACCCCTGAAGCCGAAGATTCCAGGGCAGATTTCGCTTGAGATTTGCACGGCCGGAGATCCCAGGGAAGATTTTCTGTAGATTTAAAGGCTACCAGAAAAGTAGGAGAGGTCTGGCAGCGCCAGGTCTGAACCAAGCGCCCCCCTGGGAGGTGCACGTCCAACCTGAACAGGCAGTATACACACACACACATCTTGCAGCGCATCGCTGCCCGGGCGACGTGTCCAGAAAACGCCCGCCACCGAGAAGAGTGCAGAGCGCGCGCGCGCCTGGGGGGCCGACGACACACACAGCTGGAGCACGCTGGATATGGTTGGCCGTTGCCGAGCCAACACCTGTCGAGGACGCCGCCCTCCTGGGCGCAGTACAGCACCGCGCCCGTCGGCACGTCCCCGAGGCTCGCGCCGATCGCGTCGCCGGCGCCCTTGTGCAGCCGGATGGTGAACTGCGCGGGGCGCTCGCGCCCCGCAGCGCCCGCTGGAGGCCGCGCGGGCCTGCCCTGCAGAACCTCAGGAGGCAACTGCCGGGAGGCCTTCGCAGGAACGATTGACTGGAGGCCTCCTAGAGGGGGTCCGAGCAGATGGGGTCGGAGGATCGCGCCGCATCGGCGATGCATCGGCGATGCATCAACGACGTTTGCGATGCATCGGCGGCGTCGGCGTGACGAAAATCGGGCTCCACGTCGAGCCGCATCGCCGATGCATCGGCGATGCATCGGTGATGCGGTGCGATTCTCGGACTCCATCTACTCCGACCCCATCTGGGAGGCCAAGATTAACCCATGCCCAGGCCTCCACGAGCTGGCGGCGTGCACAAGGGGGCGGGGGGGGAAGGCTCGTTAGAAGGAGGCTGCTTCTTAGCAGGCGCCGGCCCTACATCTGCAGACGAGGCCCCCGCCCTGTGCGAATCGGGGGTGTTTCGAAGAAGCCTCCCCCCCTCCCCCTACCACCCTCTACGCGTGGTCGATAACCCATGCCAAGACCTCCAATGCCTCGAGAAACGCGAGGCGGAGATTGCGAAGGCCATACGGCCGGTGCCGACGACCTTGGGCGACGGCGTCGACGACGACGAAGACGACGACGAGAACGACGACGACGACGACGACGACGACGACGACGACGTCGACGACGACGACGACGGCGACGACGACGGCGGCGGCGGCGGCGGCGACGAAAATCATCAAACTGTTTTAATCACATCATGAATGTTTGCATCAAGCTGCCAATGCCTCGAAAAACTCGAGGCGGTTTTTTTTGTCCTCGGACTCATTGGGGCTCTCGCCGGGCACCAGGACCGTCAAAAGACGACTCGGGATGAAGAGCAGGCTCTGGGGAAGAAGGTACAGACCTCCTGGGACCCCGCATCAAGAAACTCAAAGCATCGAATGTCTGGAAGGGCAATTAAGATCTAGAAGGAACCAGTAATCAATCTGAGGCCACATCAAGCCCAAGATGAGACCAAAGCAATTCGGCGAAATGGTCAAGCCAGACTGGGCCAGCTTTCGACTTCAGGTATACCAGCGCCGATGCCGAATTCAACTTCCAGGAGTTGCATCCTCGAGAACAGAAGCCTCCTAGATGGGGTCCAAATAGGTGGGGTCGGAGGATCGCGCCGCATCGCCGATGCATCGCCGATGCATCAGCGATGCATCGACGATTCATCGGTGACGTCGACGCTGCATCGGCGCCGACAGCGTGGAGAACATCGTGCTCAACATCGAACCGCATCAGCGATGCATCTGCGATGCGGCGCGATCGTCCGACCCCATCTGCTCGGACCCCACCTGGAAGCCCCGAGAGAACCTGCTCGGTTGTGCACCTCGCCTCGGCGAGGGCACTCGGAGTGCACCCCATGGCGCGCCGCGACGTGGCGGCGCGTCCGGGCCCGCCGTGGGCCAGTCGCTCTGGCTGGGCCCGGGATAGCTTGAGCGAAAAGTTCGGCGTGACCGGGGCCGCGGTCCGCGGGTTGCGAGATTGTGGTTCTAGATACCTTTTTTTTCTTGCGATGATGCTGAAAATCATCATTTCCGCGCAGCGGTCGTTACCCGCGGGGGGAAATCGCGGCCCTGGGCGATTCACGGCAACACCTGGACGCGGTGGGGCACGGCGGAGCGGGGCTGCTCTGCGATTGCCACAGCATGCGCATGTTTGTTTGGGGGAGGGGGTGAGCCGCCCAAAACGCACGAACGCTACTGTGACCCGGGAGGGGGGCAGGTAACGTTACGCGCCAGAAGATGGAAGAATAGTCTCATAACAGTTGTGACTTCTGCCTTCTACAGCCCGACCCGCACGTGTTCAAGGGAGGCTAAGTCCAGAATGAGGAAGTCCATACGGAGTGCTCGGTTTCCGTCTGAGCTTACTTCATCTGGACTTAGCCTCCCCTGATGGGATGCCGCTATCTCCATAGCATACGGTGTGCATCCATACGGAGTGCTCCCGTCTGGGCTCACTCTGTCTGGACTTCACCTCTCCCGACATGTCCCTCCCGACGCTACTTGGAGGCGCACCGACAGCACTGACACCTTGCACTCCCGATCTCAAAGCAGCTGTCGTAGACTCGGGTCTTGGGCGGCCGTTCGCGACGGCTCTGGCGGCGGCATCTCTGGAGAGCTCTCGACGAGGCGCAGCTGAGGGCAATCCCGAAAAGCACATACAAACCGAATCCAAAAGGAGGACACATTCCGGTGAGGATAAAGCGGGAATCTCTGAGAGCTGGCCGCCCTGGAGGATGCACCTGCACCGGGCGCCGCGACCTCCTCAAAGCGTACCAAAACGCTCTGAGAGCGTTGCGGAACGCTCTAGAACGGATCTATCCTCATTGACCCTACTGCGCTGGCCACCCCAGCAATCCGCGAAAGTGGCGATAGCTTCGCAGATCGCAGCCCCCCAGTGATGGAAAGGTCTAGTTTGGAACAGCAATTGGCGCCTCCCCCCAGCAGCCCTCGAAAGCAGCGACAGTTTCGCAGAGCGCAGCCTCCCAGGGATGACGAGGTCTAGTTTGGGTCCGCGTATGGCGACACTGCGCTGCCCTCCCCAGCTGCCCTCGAAAGTGGCGAGATCGCAGCACCCCCCCACAGGGGTGGCGAGCGAAGCGCAGCGAGTCGAAGCGCGCAGATCCGCCGGAGCGGGACCCTCGAGGGTCGGCGCGGGGGGGGCCCGGGCCCTGGAAGCAAGGCGAAACACTGCACACGTCTGAACGCCCATGGTGCTATATTCTGAAGGTTGGTCTGCCGCTCAGCTCACGTAGCTGATTTTCCCGGCGCCTCCCGGCGCCGGAGGCGGCTATGTATCGAGGAATGGGCTCCTCGGTGAGGCCAAAATCAGCTGCATGCAGCAAATTTCGTAACCCCCCCTTTCCCAATCCCCCCCTTTCGCCCGACCCGACTCACTGGTGGAGGCGGTGCTGTTTGTTTGTCGCGAGCGGTATGTATCCAACGCGATCGGGTTGTGGTCTTCATTGTCATCTTCCGAGCCCGCTCACGGCGATCAGACACAAAGTCCAATCCAATGTTGCGCAAACGTCTCGAATGGACCTGCAGACCATAACACACCAAAGGATTTAATCAAGAAATGGCCGCCGGCGTCGCACAGATGGGATCTGGAATCGAAACTTGAAATCAAGAGTCGTAAACATGGGAACTGCTGTTGGAAATGCCAACACCAAAATCGGATACATGGCATCTGGAATCGGAAAACGTGGACGCCGGAATTGGAGAGACGGGAGCAGGAGTCGGAAACACTGACGCCGAATTTGGAGGGACGGGAGCTGGAGTCGGAAACTTGGGTACCAAAAATGGGGCCGCCGGGGTCGGAAAAGTAGGAACTCGAGCGGAGTCGGAGACATGGGAACTGGAGTCGGAACATTGGACGGCGGAACTGGAGAGACGGGAGCCGGAATCGGAAGCTGGGTGTGCCAGAGTCGGGGCCGCGGGTGCTGGAATCGGAAAATCTGGCGCCAGTCGGAGAGAGCCAGAATTGGAGAGACGGGAGCTGGAGTCGTAAAAAATGGACCCCGGAATTGGAACTGGAGTCGGACATTTGGACGCCGAACTTGGAAAGACGGGATCCGTAGTCGGAAAGATTGGCGCCGGAGTCGGGGCCACGGGAGCTGGAATCGACAAGCTGGGCGCGGGAATCGGAAAAATAGGAGCACGAGCGGAGTCGGAAACATCGGAGCTGGAGTTGGAAAGTTGGACGCTGGAATTGGCGAGACTGGAGCCAGAATCGAAAAATTGGGCGCTGGAATCTGGGCCGCGGGTGCTGGAGTCGGAAATTTGGACGGTAGTCGGAGAGAGCTGGAATTGGAGAGACGGACGCTGGAGTCGGAAACTTGGACGCCGGAATTGGAGAGACGGGAACCGGAATCGGAAAGATGGGCGTCGGATTTGGGGCCATGGGAGCTGGAGTCGAAAAGTTGGACGCCGTGGTGCTGGAGACGTTCATAAAGAAGCCGTCGCATGAACCTCCAAACTGTGCCACGCGCAACTGTCGCAAGCAAGCTGTAACCACCACCGGCAACCGATGTCGTCCGATACTCCTGTGTCGTCCACCAGTTTCTGCGACACCAAAAAAGCTGACGACATTATGATCCCATCTTTGTCTCCTCTGGGCAGGTCGCTTGTCATGTATTGGGGCTTCCCAGTCGGCTGCACGTCGTGACCCTCGCTGGTTTGCTACGCGGCAAGCCCCCCGCCACTTCCTTTTGAGATAAAGTGTTGTCCAGGATTCGATTCGGGCTCGTTTGCGTGAGCGTTGGCCATGTGCGTTGCTATCCAGACAAAGTCGATCCAGGATTCCGTGGTGCTGTCGTCCGAGTTGTTTCTATTGTCGTCGTCGTCGTTGTTTTCGCTGCTGTCGTTGGAGCCGCTCGCAGGCGCAGTGGTCTCTAGATTGGTTGCGTCCGCGTGTTCGGAATTGCTGGTCTGATGGATCGTTTGGTCGTCGTTTTCGGGGGGCCCCTTCGTGCACCTCCTGCTGGTGCCAACTATGATCATGATCGTTTTTCGTTGCGTCCGCTGCAATGTAGTGAACACGTCTTTGATAAGAACCCACGACGTGCATCCATACGTGACGGCAGGCGTCACAGCCCGCCTGAAAAAAGTCGCAAACGGCTAGCAAAAGGGTAATGTTTACACGTCAGTTCGTGCCTTAGTTGGTTGAACTTGCGCCACCCAGAGGCAATTCTATGGTTGAGCTCCTTTGCGTGGGAAATCATGGAGCGTGAGTGCTCTTCCTAAGAACTTCGTGCTTTGCTTCGCTTCCAACATCTTCACATTGTCTCCGTCGATAATGACGAACTGAATTTGTATGCCCTGGCGGAGGGTGACATTCGTAAGTAGTTTGGCGTTGTCTGGGCGCAGTTCCAAGCCGCATTGGGAAGAGTCGTTCACCAAGTCGCAAAATAAACATCTCAGGTGGCGTAGATTCGGTGCATACGGTTGGTAATGATGGAGTCGGCGACAAGTCCCAGCTGTATGCCGAATTCCCTCCTGTACCACGACTACTTCAGCTCTCGGAAGATGTGTTCAAGAAGCGCGTTGAAAAGGAGTGAACTGAGCGGGTCCCCTTGCTCTACGCCTTTCTCAATGCTAAACTCTGTGCTCGTGGTGTCTGTGCGGACCCTGGCGGTTTGGTTGTCGTACAACGTATGTAGGAGCTCGATGTAGGATGAGGGTGCCCGCTGTTCTTCCAGAGCCTGGCATAGTGAATCGTGGCTGACGCTTCCTACAGGTTGTGAAGCAGGCTGTGGTGAAAAGGTTGTTTCGGTGCTGTAGCCATGTCGGAAGCCTGATTGGTCGACGCTTTGTTGGCCATCCAGTACTGGGCTTAGGCGATTGCACACGAGTCGGGACATCAACTTGTACAGGAGAGGAAGGATCGCAACTGGTCTACAGTTCTGCGGTAGTTTGGGGTCCCAAGCTTTGGGAACTACGCTTATGGTAGTACGTCTCCATTGTTCCGGTGGTGATCAATATGGTTTTGTGATGTCGTTGAACAAGCATTGAAGGTGTTGCTCTGAGGACGTCCCGCCGGCCTTCAACAATTCTGCTGTGATTCCCAACATGCGGACCCTGCCGCTGCGGCCTTCGGTGGTGCCGCCTCAAGCCACGAATCGTGTCAGGGGTGCGCCAACATGTGGGATGGAACCGCATGCGGGCGCTGCCACTGGGGCCTCAAGTGGAGCACCCTGTGGGGGCCACGGAACGCGTGAGGGGTTCTCCGAAATGGGGGGGTGGAACCGCATGCGAACGCAGCCACTGGGACCTTCGGTGGAGCCCCCTATGGGGCCAAGACGTGTGACGGGTGTGCCGAAATGGCGAGGTGGCCGCATGCGGGCCCTGCCACTGGGGTCTTCGGTGGAGCTCCCTATTGGGCCACGAAACATGAAAGGGGTGTGCCGAAATGGCGAGGTGGCGGCTTGCGGGCCCTGGCACTGGGGCCTTCGGTGGAGCTACAAATGGGGCCACGAAGCGTGTGACGGGTGTGCTGAAATTGCGAGGTGGGGGCATGCGGGCCCTGCCACTGGGGCGGGCCCTGCTGCTGCGGCCTTCGGTGGGGCTCCCTACGGGGCCACGAAACGTGTGAGGGGTGTGCCGACATGGCGAGGTGGCGGCATGCGGGCCCTGGCGCTGGGGCCTTCGGTGGAGCTACCTATGGGGCCACGAAGCGTGTGAGGGATGTGCTGAAATGGCGAGGAGGCGGCATGCGGGCACTGCCACTGAGATCCCTATAGGGCCACGAAACGCTGTGCTGGCAGAAGCATGCGGAGGGCAGAGGCAATGAGGGGGAGGAGGGAGAGGGGGAGTAAAGAGACGTGAGGGGGACAACGCGGGGCGCCGTCTCTTCAAAACGAG